AAAAATTAGCCAGGCATGATGGTGCACACCTGTAGTCCCAGCTACTTGGGAGGTTCAGGCAGGAGAATCACTTGAGCCCAGGAGTTTGGGGCTGCAGTGAGCTATGACTGCACTACTACACTCCAGCCTGGGTGACACAGCAAGGCTCCGTCCCGGAAAAAAAAAAAAAAAAAATTCCTCCAAACAGAATTGAGCTGCACCTAGCCACACAAAGAACGCCCCTAGGGAACAAAAGCAAGTGCCCTCCTTACACAAGGAGCCACAGAATCTTAGGGTTGCCAATTGAAAATTAGGCCGGGCGCAGTGGCTCACGCCTGTAATCCCAGCACTTTGGGAGGTCAAGGCAGGTGGATGACCTGAGGTCAGGAGTTCGAGACCAGCCTGGCCAACATGGCGAAACCCAGTCTCTACTAAAAATAAAAAAATTACGCCAGGTGCAGTGGCTCACGCTTGTAATCCCAGCACTTTGGGAGGCCAGGCTAGGCAGATCACAAAGTCAGAAGTTCGAGATCAGCCTAGCCAATGTGGTGAAACCCCGTCTCTACTAAAAATACAAAATTAGCCAGGTGGCACATGCCTGTAATCCCAGCTACTTCGGAGGCTGACGCACAAGAATCACTTGAACCCAGGAGGCGGAGATTAGAGTGAGCTGAGATCACACCATTGCACTCCAGCCTGGGCTACAGAGTGAGACTCTGTCTCAACAACAACAAAAAAAAAAATTAGCCAGCTACTCAGGAGGCTGAGGCAGGAGAATCACTTGAGCCTAGGAGGTGAAAGTTGTAGTGAGCCAAGGTCACACCACTGCACTCCAGCCTGGGTCACACAGTGAGACTCCATCTCAAAAAAAAAAAAAAGAAAAAGAATATTATTTCATCCTCCCTGTTCCCCACCCCCCCAACCTGCCTTGATTTTATAGATGAAGAAACTGAGACAGGGCGAAGGCAATGTAGGTCAATGTCCAAGCAGCCCACAGGCCACAAAATGCCTCATGGCTGAGCCGGACCTGGAACCCAGTCTCAAATCCTCCACGATCCCTTGTCCAGCCATCTACAGACAGGAATGACTTCAACTTCAAATGTGCAGTCTATATGAAAAACATGTATTCATACCCTGCGGAGATGAAGATACATTTTCTAGGGCATGTCATGTTCTGTACTCCAGGAGAAATGAGGTTTGTTGGGAGACTCATTCTGTAACGTGCCAAGTACCCAGGCCTCTCCACAGGCATTTCACAGCCTGGAAATTGAAGAAGTGACTTGGATGAGTCTGGGGTACTTCGTAGACACCACACTGAAGCTTTCTTCCCATCCATGTACTTCTCCAAGTAGTATTTTAGGGTTTTTTTTAATTTTTAATTTTTTTTATTTTTTCAGAAATTAATGAAAGATAGCTACAATAGAGATGGCCTGAACAAATCCACCAACAGAAATGTGTACCCCTCATAATTTGCCATTACATAATATTTACTTGCTCTCATAGTGCGCCGAGGGTCTGAAAACATGCTGATTAACAAACAATAATTCAGTCTCACTACCTTATTCAGCGATATGGGTATGTTCTGGGACTCCCTTTTATAGGAGGCTGAACTGAAGCGTACAGATTGAAAGGTTTCTCCCTGAGACCTGACTCAGAGGTGCGTCAGACAATCCAGACCAAACCATAAAGCCCAGTCCTTTCTCTGTGTTGCTCTTTGCTTCCTCAATCTCATTTCCACCCCCCTGGGCCAACCTTCGCTCCCATTTAGCCCCCACTCTAACCACACAGACCAAACGCCTTGACCCCTTAGCTTCCAACAGTAAACGCTCTGCTCTGTGAGACAAGATAGGTAGACAAGGCAGCAGATATCAGATTACAAAGTCTGGCAAAGTGAGTGTGCCTGCAGCCTTTATGATGCTTTATTTTAAACGCATGCGAACACTGGGAGCTGACAGCCAAGCTTCTTACAGGGCTTTCCTGGCTTCCTATCTTAAAGATGTATGGTGACAGCGGGGCAAAAGAAGTCACTGGAACTGATGCATATTTTGGAAATGAATGCCAGCGGTTAATTGCTGGTGCCTTTCATTTGTGGCAGATTTCATTTAAAACAAGAGAAGGGCCCAGACTCAAAATCCACACTGTAGGTACCAGAAGTCACCTCCACATTAAGACTGAGGCCAGGGTCACTGGTCGTGGCCCAGGGTGGAGCAGGCATCTTGAACTGGGGGCCACTTCTAGAAAGTCCACCAAGGCAAAATAATGACAATCCAAAAGCTCTAAAATGCTTCCAAGTTTAGATAACATTATGCTATCACGATTGCCATCATTATGCTTTCTTATTTATTTATTTCATTTTAGTTTTTTGGGACTGAGTCTCACTCTGTTGCCTAGGCTGGAGAGCAGTGGCACGATCTCAGCTCACTGAAACCTCCGCCTCCCGGGTTCAAGTGATTCTCCCGCCTCAGCCTCCCAAGTAGCTGGAAGTATAACCACCACACCCGGCTAATTTTTGTATTGTTAGTAGCGATGGGGTTTCACCATGGTGGCCAAGCTGGTCTCCAGCTCCTGACTTCAAGTGATCCACCTGCCTCGGCCTCCCAAAGTGCTGGGATTACAGGTGTGAGCCCCCATGCCCCACCCATTATGTTTTCTTTACTTTAATATTAAAGTTCAATTTCCAAATACTAAAGTTAAGTCAAATTATCTACTAAGCATTTGCCATTACAAAATCTACAAAGTGCGTCAACCCTGTATGGATAATCAAAAGTTACTCTGCCTATCTGTGAATACCAGCTCCGCCACGTAATAGCTAGCTAAGGTTTGACAGCTCACATAATATCTCTGCCGCCTTAGTTTTCTCATTTGCAGATTGGGTATGATGGTAAATACCTGCCTCATAGGTTACTCTGAGATTTAAATGAGTTAATACCCACAAGGCATGTAGAATAATACCTGGTCCTAGGTATAGATTTCAGAATATCACCTATGATTACCATGATTATTATGTGGAGTAAAAACATCTTGATCATCGCACTGTTTCTCTTTCACTCTTCTAGGTCCCCTGCTGGCACTACCGTGGGAAGTTCCTTTGCAAAGAATTGCATCCCAGGCAGAATGCAATGCTTTGGGACCCTAAGAGAGACCCATTCCCAAAGCTCACAGGGAACAAGGCTGGAGTCCAAGAAGCTGTTCTTCCAGAGCTGTACTCTGGCACCAGAAGGCAAATCCCCATTTTGCCCCAAGGTGAAAACCAGCCGCAATCATCTCCAAACAGGCTGGCCAAGACTCAGCAGCCCGCCACTGCAGAGGACCAGTTAGGGGACGGTGCCTCAGTCACCCAGAGGCTGGAAGCTAGTGTGGAGGGCTCAGTTGGGAACAAGGCAGGCACAGAAAGGCACTCACACAGAGTGGGTCCCGACGCTCTCACACCCCCTCATCCTCATCGGCGGCCACAGCTCGGGTCCTGGGTGACAAGAAAAGGCCACGCTTTCTTGTTATTCAGTAATTGGAGCATCTCAGAATCACAACCCCAAACCCGAATAAACCTCAGTGGCAATCTTCAAAAGTTTTGACCCAAACTAACCCCTTACCTGGCTGCACTGAGAGGACACCCCAAATCCTTCTTTATTAAAAAGGTACGTCTTTTTTGTTTTCATTTCAACAAAGCTAGCAAAGACGTGCCCTCCCTGAAAGGCAGCAGCCACAGCAGGGAGACCCCACTCTAGTCCTCAGCTACACCTTTCTCGGGAATCAGAAGCAGAGCTGGGAACACCACCTTCACAACTTCCCTCCGGAGGACCCCCCCCTGCAGATCTGCGTGGGGGTGAAGGAAAATAACTGAAGAGCAGCAAACCCTGAGCCTGGAGGCGACGACAATCTGGGTAATGTGGTGCTGGAAAAACAGACCAAGCACAAAAACAAGCACTGTGAAAAAAAGAAGGAAGGAAAGAAAGAGCACCCAACAACACACTGATCTATACCATGAAATATCTCCTCCTTTTCTTCCCAGCCTAACCAACACCTTCATGAACCCCTGCAAAATGTACACTTCAGACTGCACATCTGTGCGTGAATACACATACACTGACAGATACTAATCCACAACAAACACTGATCGTATGAGGGAAGAAAATAATTTGAACTTCAGACTCATTCGGCAGGTCCTGATTCTCTTTCACTATCAGCCTCCCCACCTATGCTGAGCTGCTCCAAAACAGAACAAGACCCAACTCCTGGGCAGAAAGGGAACAGCAGTCGAGCTGAGCAGCACATGCTTGGAGCGTTCCTGCCATCGACTTCAGATTATTTCTGCTTCCTTGAGACGCAGCCATCAGCATGGACTCAACGCAGCCGAGAGAGCACCGCCCGCGCAGCGACGCGCACAGACCCTCCCTTGGAGAAGCGCTCCCCGGCGCGTGCAGCCGAGCCCACGAGAAACGCACAGACCCTCCCGGGAGGCTCTGCCCACGTGTGACCGTGAGCCCTGCGAAGCCCTTCCCTTCCATCCTCGCGTGGCCATCCAAAGTCTTGCCTACACCTCATACGTGCAGATGTCAATTCCATAGGAATACATGATGTAAGGACAGAAATGGGAATGACTGGAGGCTGATCTTCTCGTGACCACGTCTCGCCAACGCGGTGCGCCCATGCACACGGCGAGTAAACGCACACAGCCGGTAAACAGCCATTCCTACCATGCTCAGCCCACAGTCACGCGTGGGGAGAAGGCAACGGAGAGGGCGGCGGTGGCAGGGGAAGTGGGAAGTCGCCCGCCCGCGTGGGCTGCTCCCTGACAGCTCGGCGCTGCCCCTCCCCCTCCCGGGAACCGAGCCCACCCCGGGGTCGCAGGCCCATGCGTCGGGCGCGCTCGGGGGGCTCCGCAGCGCCGAGAGCGGGACAATGAAGGCGCAGCGACGGGCCAGGTTCCTGCCGCGGTGCTGGCGGCGGCGGTGGCAGCCGGAGCCGCCCGTGCAGCCCCCGCCGCGGCCACCTCCGCCCTCACGTCCCCGGTCCCCACTTACGTTCCGAGGGTCTCCTTGAACTCGAAGATCTTCTTGATGTCTTCAGCCTGCTTTTTCCAGGAGGAGCTGCTCTCGCCGTTCTCCCGGGCCATGGCCGACGAACGCGGCGCGGAGGGGCGGCTGGGGGCGCGCTGGGGAGGGGGCGCCGGGGGCGCGGCGCGGCGCGGGCGCAGGGGCGGCGGGGATGCCGGGCGCCGAGCCGGGCAGCTTCGGCTGCTGCGCGGCTTCCTCCTCTGCAGTTTCCTCTTTCGCTCTCGCCGCCGCCGCCGCGGTCCCTCCCTGGCTCTTATTTCTGCTGCTCTCGGGCACAGACTTCCTGCCGCCGCCGCGCGCCGGCTCCTTTGCCGCCGCCTGCCAGCCTCACTTTCTGCTACTTTCTTGCCTCCCTCCCAGCCGCCCGCCGCGCTCCCCACTCTCGCACCTCCTCCCCCTCCTCCTCCTCCTCCTCCCGCGGGCTCCCCGCCCTCCCAGTGCGCCCCAGCCGCTCCCTGCCTCCCGCGCGCCGCCTTCGGGGATGTCCCGCTCCCCTCCAGGGAACGCCGGGCCGCGGCCGTTGCGCCCCCTGGAGCCCCGGCGAGGGCGGGTGCGGGCCCCCGGCAGGTGCGGGGCGCGCGCGGGAGAGCCCCAGCCCCACGGGTAGCTAGACGCGGAGCCAAGTCTGGGGGCGCCGGGGCTTTCCCGTCTCTGGCGGGAGGGGGCGCCTCTGCGCGGCTCGGAAGCGCTGAGCGGGCGGGGGTGCGCGGCGGCCGGATGCGGGTCGCCGAGGGCGGGGCGCCTTCCCGCGCTGGGGCGGGTGGCACGGGGGACCCGAGGGGCGCGGTGCAGGGCGGGCGGGGGCCTGTTGTTATGGCTACGGGCGGCGGCTGCTGGGATGCAGGCGGCGGCAGGAGCTCCCCAGGCCCGGGCGGCGGGCAGGAGCTCGTTCGCATTGCACCAAATCGGTTTCACGTCAGTTTCGGGACGGACCCGGGAGGAGCAAGCCTGGGAGCCTCCAGGCGGGCACGCGCAGGACGCGCCAGCAGCTGCCTCGTGGTCCCTTTGCGAGCAAAACTCCTGGGGGTGTTTGGCGGCCCTGTGGGGGCGCCGGCGCTGGGCTGGAGCAGCCAGCGGACCTGGCCGGCCTGGCTACCCTGGCTCACGCTTGGCCCCTTCTCGCATCTCCCTCTCTCCTCCTAGAGACTTAGTGGAAAGTGATCGTCTGCCCCGCAGTCCCCTCGAAGGAGGGGCTCACCTGCTTTCCTAGGGGCAGGCACCTGCTTTCCTAAGGGCTGCCAAACTAACCCAGAGAATTCCCTCCCGACTGCCATCTCCCAGCTGTACTTTGGCCTGCCCGCTGCACTCCTGGTGTCCACCTGTCAGAGGGCGGCCCACGTGCTCCAGTTCCCTGGTCCCCAACCTGCAGGGGCGACCTCTTGATTGGAAAATTTTAGTTTTCTTGGTATCAATACTTCCCCTCCTGAGGGCCCCTCCTCGGAGTTGGGTAAACAGCCCTGTCTCTTGACTGGGGACACCTGTCCCATTTTCCCAGGACTGTTCCAATTTTACTGTAAAATGAAAAAGGAAAAAAAAAAAAAAAGAAGTCTGCTCCCTGTAAAGGAAATTTCATCCAGCACCTTCTGCCTAGTTCTGACTCTGGCTGGAGTGGAGGCAGGCCAGATGCTCTCGCTCAGCTTCTTCCCTGACCCCAAAGAAGTCAGAGGACATCCACCAGTGCGGTGGCTCACGCCTGTAATCCCAGCACTTAGGAAGGGCGAGGTGGGCGGATCACGAGGTCAGGAGATTGAGACCATCCTGGCCAACATGGTGAAATCTTGTATCTACCAAAACTACAAAAATTAGCTGGGTGTGGTGGTGCATGTCTGTAGTCCCAGCTACTTGGGAAGCTGAGGCACAAGAATCACTTGAACCCAGGAGGCGGAGGTTGCAGTGAGCGAGATCACGCCACACTCCAGCCTGGCAACAGAGGGAGACTGTCTTAAAAAAAAAGAAGAAGAAGAAGAAGTAGTCAGACCACACCCTGGCATCCCCATTCCTAGGACCTCCATGCTGGTTTCTATCTTTCACAGATGGAGCTTAAGGTTCTCCAAACTGAGAAGAGCAAATAGAGAATTTACTTGCCAGTTAGATATAGAATAAATCCACAACCCAATTTCCAAGTGGGATAGGTGAGAAGAATTACTAAGGAACCTCTCTTATAGTTGGGGTACATTACCAAAGTCCAAGGCAAACAGCGTCCCCTTCAATAAGAAATACATTTGGAAAACTGTCATGTATTTCACTTGTGCCAGAGGTTAGATAATACGAACAATGGAAACCAGAGGATAAGTCAACTAAGATCCCAACTGATGCCCTCCCATGCCCCATAATCAGCATCTTCTTGTCGTTCCTTTCTCCTTCCCTTCCTCCCACTCTGTTTCCTTCTCCTTTCTTGCCTGGTTCTCCCCTATGTTGCCCTTGCTCCCTGACCTCAGGAACAGCGGCCAGAGCTCGTGCAAACAATTCTTTATGATGGTCCTTTCTCCCTTACTGGATACTACGTAAAATGAAAGCTCTTAATGCTAGAGATTGCAATAAAAAACAATAGTCTTCATTCCCTAAGAATGGTTGGACCTTGGCCCTTCACTGTGGCTCATTCCTGTAATCTCAGCACTTTGGGAGGCCAAAATGGGCGTATTGCTTGAGTCCAGAGATTCAAGACCAGCCTGGGCACATGGCGAAAATCCAACTACAAAATACTAGCCAGGTGTGGTGGCGCATGCTTGTAGTCCCAGGTACTCGGGAGGCTAAGGTGAGAGAATCACCTGAGCCCAGGAAGTGGAGGCTGCAGTGAGCCATGATCTGTGCTCCAGCCAGGGTGACAGGGTGAGACTCTGTTTCAAAAAAAAGAAAAAAAGAAAAGAAAAAAATGCCTTAGCCCTGCAAGTGACCTAATTCCATTCACTGGAGGGCCCTAACTTTGACTGTTCTTCAGAGTAACTGGCCATCTCCTCCAGTTTGCCATTTTCTTCTGGAAGAACAGAGATCGTGGTTCTTCCCTCATTTCACCCTTAATTCTGTTGTCAATAAATGACCAACAACATTCAACAGCTCTCAGTCAAAAGCCATCTGTTAGGTCGGGCACAGTGGCTTACAACTGTAATCCCAGCACTTTGGGAGGCCAAGGCAGGTGGATCACCTGAGGTCAGGAGTTCAAGACCAGCCTGACCAACATGGTGAAACCCCACCTCTACTAAAAATACAAAATTAGCTGGATGTGGTGGCGCATGCTATAATCGCAGCTACTGGGGAGGCTGAGGCAGGAGAATCACTTGAACCCGGGAGGCAGAGGTTACAGTGAGCTGAGATCGCACCATTGCACTTCAGCCTGGGCAACAAGGGCAAAACTCTGTCTCAAAATAGTAGTAATTTTTTAAAAAGCCGTCTGTTCCGCATCAATTCCACTCCAGTAAGCTCTGCCAGATAGTCTGGATTACTAAAGCTTAGGTCCTCCACCTTTGTATTTCCCCAAAGCCCTTAAAATTTTAGATTTAAAGAGCCCAAAGAAGAAACACTTTTAATATCCCATCATTAAAGAGTTACTAATTTTATGTCCATTGAACTGTTTTCCAAACAACCCTCTTACCAATAGATCATGCTTAATGTGGCCCAGGTTCAGTCCTGGGCAAGTTTTGGGGAGAAATAAATACTATGTAAGGCAAATACGCAGATTAAGGTTGAAAATTTCAAACTTATTTCTGCTCAGCCTCTCAAATGTAAAATGATAAACCAGGAAGACAAGCTGGGGTTGTGGGAAGAACCAGAAGTCTAGAAATGATGCCCGAGTCTCAGATCTGGACTGAGTGTGTGTTAGACACTTCACCCAGGTTGTAGAGGAGGATGGTACGTAAACGAGATGACTTTTTTTTTAATTTTGAGATGGAGTCTCATTTTGTTGCCCAGGCTGGAATGCAGTGGTGCAATCTCGGCTCACTGCAACCTCCATCTCCTGGGTTCAAGCAATTCTCCTGCCTCAGCCTCCTGAGTAGCTGGAACTACAGGCATGTCCCACCATGCCCGGCTAATTTTTTTGTATTTTTACTAGAGTCGGGGTTTCACCATGTTGGCCAGGCTCACCTTGAACTCCTGACGTCAGGTGATCTGCCCGCCTCAGTCTCCCAAAGTGCTGGGACTGCAAGCATGAGCCACTGCGTCTGGCCGCTAGATGACTTTTAGAACTTCTAAATCAACATTTATTTTCATATGATAAAAAGCTTATCTGGAATATCATTACTTTGTCTTTGAAAATTTAAGAATTATTTGGCCCAAAAGTGTATTGATCAAAATATTTTATTAAGTGATCTGTTATAGATATACCCATTGTTTAAAGCTCAACAGGAAACATTGTTTGGACACACACAGACAGCCTTATTAAAAGTTGGGGCCAGGCACAGTGGCTCACACCTGTAATCCCAGCACTATGGGAGGCCGAGGCAGGCGAATCATGCAGTGAAGAGATAGAGACCATCCTGGCCAATGTGATGAAACCCCATCTCTACTAAATATAAAAAATTAGCTGGGCAAGGTGGTGCACACATGTAGTCCCAGCTACTCAGGAGGCTGAGGCACAAGAATCACCCAAACCTGGGAGGTGGAGGTTGCAGTGAGCCGAGCGCACGCCACTGCACTCCAGGGGCAACAGACGGAGACTCCATCTGAAAAAAAAAAACAAAAACAAAAAACAAAAAGTTGGGCCTTATCTTCTCCATTAAATGGATTGTTTGACAACGCTCTTAAGTTGGGGGTGGGTGGGGCTCTTCTCACACGTGCCGTAAAACTGTTAGCGTGTTAGTTCCTAGAAATAGTAGTTATGGAGCTCATTTCTTATATACTGCTGGTTAACATAAGTTGTTGATGGTGTGCACTAGAATCAACACCAAGGAAACACATAACTAAATGAGGAATCATGCAAAACTGCCACCTTGGCAAAAAGCAGCCTGTCAGTAAGGCAACAGGAAAACAAAGAACTCAGCACTGCAGTTTCAGATTTCTTTTGGAAGAGGTGAAGCCTAAAGGAATCTTCTGACCTGACTCATAAGGAAACTGAGCATGACCCAAGGAGAATTCCAGCTAGCCTCAACGGCCAGGGCCCACTCCTTAGCACGAACCTCCTGAAAGTAGCTGTCCATGCAAGAATGCTTCTAGTTCAAAGACAATGACAAATCAAGGGGGGACCAGCCCAAAATCTTTATGAAATTCCTCAAAAAAAAAAAAAAAAAAGGAGCTCTGGCAATGCAGGCCTTGTAATAAAAAGAATAGAGAGGAGAAGGGAAGAGAAGGGAAGGGGAAGGGAGGGGAGGGGAGGGAGGGATAGGGAGTGGGGGAGGGGAGGG